CCCCAAAACCCCAAAACCCCAAAACCCCAAAACCCCAAAACCCCAAAACCCCATCAGCTATCTATTAATTGAAATTAGTGGATAAATAATATTTTCCAAAATGAAGTGTAAATTATGCGATGAGCGCAAGGCTGCCATCAAAAGACCAAAGAATGGTCATGCAGTTTGTAAAGAGTGCTTCTTTTATGTCTTTGAAGAGGAAGTCCATCATACTATTGTCTCCAATAACTTATTTAAACCAGGAGAGAAGGTAGCCATTGGAGCATCTGGAGGAAAAGACTCGACAGTTTTGGCTCATGTGCTTACTACTCTTAATAAAAGGTACGACTATGGCTTGGATCTGTTTCTTCTCTCTGTTGATGAAGGAATTACTGGATATCGTGATGATTCCCTGAAAACTGTCGAGCTGAACAAAGAATACTACCAACTTCCTCTCTTAGTCATCTCATATGAAGAAATTTACGGCTGGACAATGGATGAAATTGTCAAACTTGTCGGACTAAACAACAACTGTACCTTCTGTGGAGTCTTTAGAAGACAAGCTCTCGACAGAGGAGCCTATAAACTTGGAGTTGACAAAATTACAACTGGTCATAATGCTGATGACATTGCTGAAACAGTACTTATGAACATATTGAGAGGCGACTTTTTCAGACTTTCTAAGTGCCATAAAATTATTACAGGAGAGGATGACACAATGCCAAGATGCAAGCCTTTAAAATATTGCTATGAAAAAGAGATTGTCATGTATGCTCACTTAAAGAAGCTTGATTACTTCTCCACAGAGTGTTCATATGCTCCCCAAGCATATAGAGGATATGTCAGAGAATTGTTAAAGAATATGGAAAAGATTAGGCCCAGCTCAATTGTAGATATCATTCATAGTGCAGAAAAGATGGAGCTAGATAGTGATGTTAAAATTCCTCCTAAGTTAAGCTGTACCAAGTGTGGATTCATCTCAAGTAATAAGGTATGCAAGGCATGTGTTTTGCTCGATGGATTGAACAAAGGGCGACCAAAGATTGCAATTGGAAAGAAAGCTATTATTGCTTATGAGGAAGACAACAAAAATCAAGATGAAGAAGTTAAAGAGCCAGAAGAGACAAAAGAAGCTGAAGAAACCTCCGGAGAAATTAGTAAAAGCTTCTAGTATTTTATAAATTTATTCGCATTTCAATCATTAGATTAATAAGGGGTTTTGGGGTTTTGGGGTTTTGGGGTTTTGGGG